GTACAAGCACAATAGTTAGACGTTGTTTACTGCATGCTCCACAATGGTCTGTGCCTGCTGTCTGCAATATGTACAAGCACAATAGTTAGACGTTGTTTACTGCATGCTCCACAATGGTCTGTGCCTGCTGTCTGCATTAAGTACAAGCACAATACTTAGATGTTGTTTACTGCATGCTCCACAATGGTATGTGCCTGCTGTCTGCATTATGTACAAGCACAATAGTTAGACGTTGTTTACTGCATGCTCCACAATGGTCTGTGCCTGCTTTCTGCATTATGTACAAGCACAATAGTTAGATGTTGTTTACTGCATGCTCCACAATGGTCTGTGCCTGCTGTCTGCACTACGTACTAGCACAATAGTTAGACATTGTTTACTGCATGCTCCACAATGGTCTGTGCCTGCTGTCTGCATTATGTACAAGCACAATAGTTAGACGTTGTTTACTGCATGCTCCACAATGGTCTGTGCCTGCTGTCTGCATTATGTACAAGCACAATAGTTAGAGGTTGTTTACTGCATGCTCCACAATGATCTGTGCCTGCTGTCTGCATTATGTACAAGCACAATAGTTAGAGGTTGTTTACTGCATGCTCCACAATGGTCTGTGCCTGCTGTCTGCATTATGTACAAGCACAATAGTTACACGTTGTTTACTGCATGCTCCACAATGGTCTGTGCCTGCTGTCTGCATTATGTACAAGCACAATAGTTACACGTTGTTTACTGCATGCTCCACAATGATCTGTGCCTGCTGTCTGCATTATGTACAAGCACAATAGTTACACGTTGTTTACTGCATGCTCCACAATGGTCTGTGCCTGCTGTCTGCATTATGTACAAGCACAATAGTTAGATGTTGTTTACTGCATGCTCCACAATGGTCTGTGCCTGCTGTCTGCATTATGTACAAGCACAATAGTTAGACGTTGTTTACTGCATGCTCCACAATGGTCTGTGCCTGCTGTCTGCATTATGTACAAGCACAATAGTTAGACGTTGTTTACTGCATGCTCCACAATGGTCCTTGCCACCTTAAATCTGAGGGTATGACTTGGGAAAAGATTGTTTAAAAGTCCACTTTTGTCCATACTGTACACATCATGAGGTATACTTTTCCCTCACTTGGTCAAATTCACGCAACCGGTTGTTTACTCCTTGCTCATCAACATTATTTGCTCCCCAACAAATCTCTAATGACGAAATTGTGTGCCTCTGTTGGAACCGGCATAACCAATCAGCGGTACAACTTCCTCAAAATTTTTAGTTTTGTTTGCAGATCTATGGCAGACTGCTTCCTCTTGGCCAAAACAAACAGTCTGTTAATTCATAGAGGCAGAAAATCAGGTTAACCAAAATGTTGTTTATGTAAACCAAATGTTCTTCTTAAGCAATTTGTGTTAATGAGGTTGTACTGCATTACATTATCTCTGCAAACTACATATTTATATTTTTCACTTATCAACCTTAAATAACAATGAGTGTAAGAACATGTGTGCAGACTGTTTACCTAAAAATGCTTTATAAAAAAAATCTAAAGCAATTTGTAAGACTATGGTTTACATTCAATGTTACATGAAAAAAACTATATAAATAGGGTAAAAATCAGATTATGCTAAAGGAGTACAAACCACAAAATCAAATATAAATTAAACTGTTCTACCTTTCCCACCTGTATATGAAAACATCATAAACAACATAAATTAATTGAAGAAGATAATAATACTACCAATAATAACTTTAACGACATGGAACAATAAACTATTTTGTGGCCATGATTGTGATATAGAAAATAATCTCCCATGCAAATTAAACAAGAAAGGGACACAACTTGAAAGAATGTGCACACCACAAATTGTTTCTTCTTCTTCTTTGTTCACTGGCTGTCAGCTCCAGTGGAAAGTCTGGTTGTTCATCTAATTGGACTTTGGCTTTGTGCCAGAGCCTGAGTTCTGCGTGTACATTCATTTTACTGGCTTATTTGTGTGCAGCTGGTTATTCCTTGCGGCTCAGACAGTTGCACTCCAACTTTGAAGGAAGTCCATTTAGTCGACTCCCTCGACATGCTTGTTAGAAGGCAGTGGGTCTATTCTTGTTTTCCCCACAATGGGATCCCAGAACCCACACGGGGAGCAAAGTGTATAATTTGATCACTGATAACAGTGAAGACAGCCATGATGTTGATGAAAACCATCCACCTAGTGCTGATTGGTCTACAAAAATATGAGTCCAGCATCATATGCCTGACACATCACTGGTGTACAAAGAAGTCCTTTAATTACTTTTACTAGTTGTTCGTCCATCACGAGTGATGAAGACCTCTTTCATCCAAAGTAGTAATGATCAATGATTATGAATGCGAAGGTGGCTGATTAGTCCAATATGAGCCAGGAAAGTTCTTGAGCAGTGCAGACAACAGATGCAAGCTGCAGTTAGTGTGGGATAAGCAGTACGATTCTTTCTAGTCTGCCTCCGTTTCTCTGCCTCTACAACCTCCGTTGCCTGGCAGGCCGTTGCACAATGCCTAAGGGACATATGCTATCCAGAACAGTCTTGTGCAGCAGCTTCCAACATCGCTGTGTTGATGCCAAAAGAACTGAGAGCAGTCTTCAGAGTGTCCTTATAGCACTTTTTCTGTCCTTCCTGGGACCTCTTCCCTTGCTTGAGCTCGCCATAAAATACCCTCTTTGGGAGGCGATATTCTGGCATGCGGGTTAGGTGACCACCCCAACGCAGCTGCCCATTCTTCAGTATCATGTGGATGCTAGGCAGGTTCGCCCTATCGTGAACCACAGTATTTAGGATCTTATCTTGCCATTTACTTTTACTTACTACTTATAGGGAAGATAAATAATTTATTTTAAATTTAACAGCAACAACATCAGTGTTAACTCTTAAGCCGTATTTACTGTTAAAAATTTAAGAGTAGAATGATACATAAAAGTATAGAAGTGCCCTTCATGTTGGAAGTTATCCACATGTCTTACTTTTATCACAGATATTTTTAAAACAATGTTTTCCCAGTGTAAATTTAGATAATGAATACGCAAACAGTATATTACATAATTTATTGCTCAGGATATTTCAAAGTATCACATCAGGTGAAGATTACAGAATTTACATCAACATGTAACAGATGACTGCCTACTTCCCTGAAGGTGTAACCACTCTGATGTGGTAGGGGAGTTTGTTCCCTGAAGGTGTATCCACTTTGATGTGGTAGGGGAGTTTGTGCTTCATAATGATTCTGAAAGCTATGATGGCAGTAGCATAGTTTCCAGCAGGGCCTCACAAGCAGACAGGTCAAAGGATAGAGAATGGGCAAACAGAGACATCCATGTCCACCAGGTTGGAGGCTGAAGTGTGGGGTTAACACTCCCAATTTCATAAAACATTTCTCCCCATGTGGGTTCCGGGGCCCTATTATAGGGAGAACAAGAATAGACCCATTGCCTACCCAAAAGCATGTCGTAAGAGTCGACTAATTGGGAGCTTCCTTTGAAGTCATAGTGCATCTGCCTGAGAGGCAAGGAACCAACACTGCATAAAAATTAGTCAGATCTGTCAAACGGATGCACATGCAACACTCAGATACTGGAACAGGACTGCAGTCCAGAAGTGGACGAACAACCAGAACTTTTCGCTGGAGTTTACAGCCGGTGTACGTGAAGAAGAAGAAGAAGATAAAACATTTCATTATGAAACCAATATCTGAACCTCAAAATTGAGGCGGATGATGTATGCAGAAATCCAGAATGCTAAAGAAGAAGTATAGCTTGCTTTCACATCGAGACAAAAAAATTTACTTTAGCTTTCCAATCAACCCAGTCTAAAATGGATATGTCCTGGGAAGTAAAGATGGTTGGCATGATGTTGATAACATTATTCAGTGAATGCTGATTGGTCTAAAAAAAAAACGTCTATCACCAAACACCCGTAACATGTAATGGTCCTTTTATAATTAAGCAAAATGGATCCTTTCAACTGAAATACACAGGTCACACAGTTCATTATTATAGTGTACACATCTCCCCACAAAGGTCTATGATTAAGCATACATTGTTAATCTCAGCCATCTGTAGTAAGATTACAGTTTAACAATGGTCTTTGTGACTTGTCTTTCAGCTGAAAGGATTCATGTTTGCACTTCAGCATATCTTTATGACATTGTTAACCTTCAGTTCTGTATCTACAGGGGGTTTAAAACTGATCAAAATAAACCATAAAGTATCCCTCGGTTTTGACTGAACATTTTTACTAAATAGATATACAGTATTCACAAGGACTGCATAAAAATATATTTATGGAAACTACTGATAAGGTGTAAAAGCATCTTGTCTCAGAAGTTGAAATATTTTAGTCATATCAAGCACCATGTTGGATTGGAGAAAATAATAAAACCAGAAGTAGGGGCAGGGACCGACCATCATGAAGATAGGCACAGGATATGAGTGACTCCTTGAATATGAAACTATATGAGGCGGGAGAGCTGGTGAGAGATCGAGTTTCTTTCAGGCAGACTGTGATTTTCTAAATGATGATGATGAGTGAGAAGATTTCTAGAAGAAATTAATAAACAATCTTTTAAAGACGTTGCAAGGAAAGAAAAACAATTATTAAAAACACTGAAAAGATTTAAAACACAGTAACAACTGATGCAGGATGTATCTAAGAAATGAAAGTGGATGATTAATAAAAATGCAGTGTAAAGAAGGAGATAAAAATATGAGCACCTCTGTAAAATATTTGCAATATCATAATCCCCTTCTTAAAAAAGTCACACACACATACACACACAAACTGAAATATGTGAAAAAAAGAACAGACAAGGCATACACACCTACCTATCATAATATGATACACGAAACACTGACAATTTAAAAACAAAAAAAATACATATTTCTCTTTTGTTTATGATCATTTCAAGCACACCACAACAGTTTTTTTTTTTTTAAAATTTCAATTGCTGAAATGAAATAGACTCAACAACTTCTTACCGCTTTGTGTAGAAAGTTTTTTGGTAATTTTGGGATACTTTGCAAACTTAACATAGTAATATGACTCATATTCCATAAGAATTGTTTCAAGGTCAATGTTGTCACAGACTTCATAACGGTGAAGGTCTATGCTAGTTTCCTTAGCAAGACTTCGTGCAGAATCAATATATCTGTTTAGAAAAGATGAATCAAAGTAAATCAACACATACATAAAGAAAAGATCAGAGGCAAATTAATCTGTTTGTTTTTAAAAAAAAAAACATTAATTAAAGAAATAAATATGTGTCAACGAGATAAATGAAACCTGTATGATCTAGGAATTAATAGGAAATAATGTTTAGTGTTTAAGTTAGAAGTAAACCATCCCCGTGTGGGTTCCAGGGTCCTAATATGGGGAAAACAAGAATAGACCCACTGCCTACGCAAATGCATGTCATGTCATAAGAGTCAAATAATTGGGAGCTTCCTCTGAAGTTGGAATGCATCTGCCTGAGAGGCAAGGAACCAACAGTCTGCATTCAAGTGAATCAGATCTGTAAAACTGATGCACACACAACACTCAGGTTATGGAGCAGGACTGCAGTCCAGAAGTGGACGAACAACCAGAACCTTCCGCCAGAGTGTACAGCTGGTGAACGCTAAGAAGAAGAAGAAGAAGTAAACCTTGTTAAACACAAAAGTAATACATAAAATCAATAGAAAGCATCACGCTGTGACTTCGATCATGAGGACAATTGAGCTGTGAATAGTTTAGTTTAAGGTTTGCTTTGTACCCATACTGTAGAAAGCAGCAGGTTACAAAGAAAAATCCTCAATGAGAATTAAAGGGCAGTCTTTAAAAAAATCTACACTTTTAAAATAGCATCACATGTAAGTCAGTCAGTAGGCTGGAAAGTATTTGTAACAGTGACTTTTACCTCTAGTTTAATGACAGCAAGATCTCAGCCAGAAGATAAATCCTTAATGTATTTACTGGTACACAGAATGAACATGTCATGCACTTGGCTATTTTTTTAAACTTTCAGCAATAAAGAATTTAAAAAAAAAAACATTGAATTTGCTAAACGTTTAGAGAACAATGAATTTGCAGAAACTATTGCGAATTGGGCAAACTTTACTAAAACAAATGCTGCAACATGCCTATGAGATCACTTATTTGATCTGTATGCAATATCATGAGTGGTGATACATTTCAAATTATCAGGTCTGTCCACACCTGGTATCTCACAGACTATAAATAATTTCAGATAATCTTGACATTCTCCATAAAATGATTCAAAACTGTCCAACATCTTTTTTGGTCTCTCCCTCTCGAGACCAACACTCAAAGACTAAAGATGCATGTGATTTCCACTGTGATGTGAGAACAAAAAATTTCACAACAAACTTGAGGAAGTCACAAAATTAAATAAAATCTGTCCCTATGTCTACTAGTTGACAGGCAAGCCATGAGTGGTAGTCCTTGGTGTCTGTATTTAAAATTGTTACTGTTGTTTTGACTCCCTCTAGTGAGTGGGCTTTTAACATATGAGTCTGTCTACAACTGAATTATAGCAGACTGGCAGGCAGTTAACCACCAAAGAGTGTAAAATATGGCTTTTTTTTAAAAATCTTCTGGAATATTCTAAAATACTTATAAGTTGGCAACACTGATATGCCACTCAAAAGTTCTGTCTTAAGACTGGTGACTTGCTGTGACTGTAAACACAGTCAATAATTGATGTGTGGATTAGTTGTGTCAGAAGCAATCAAGGTGGCTTTGCTACACTGTACAGGTGTTGTGGTGTATTCATCTGCTACATTTGAGTTTCTGGAAGTGAAATTTCTACCTTTATTTGTAGAAGCGTTCAGTCCTATTTAGTCATTCTGGAGGCACTAAGGAAAAACTAAAGACTTACCACTTTCATACTGAATAAGAAGAGTACTTATTTATAGCTAGCATTTTGAATTTTCATAAACCATATACTATAAAATATTCTTTTAAGATTATTAAAAAAAAAAAATTTGTTTAAGTATACAAAAGAGAACATGCAACTTACCCTTCATCATTTAAATAATTCAATACAAGAATAAGAAGATTTTTCTTTCTAGAATCTGTGCGTGCTTCATCCTGAAGAAAAAGTATAACATTTGTTCTGTGAGTAAGGGACTGAGATATATAACACTGGTTGAGATGTGGGTAAATGGAATCACTAATGTAGAACTCTGGGAGAGAACTAAACAAGTTCCAGTGCACCAAGAGGTGAAATAAAGACGCTGGCATTGGATAGGGCACACATTTAGAAAACCTGAGAACAATATACAAAGTATGTCTTTGCACTGGAACCCAGAGGGGCATAGAAATAAAGGAAGACCAAAAAACACATGGAGAAGTGAGCTAGATAGAGAAGTTAAAAGGATCGGGAGGACATGGGGAGAGCTGCATGCGAAAGTGAAGAATAGAACGACTTGGTGTGAGTTGGTTAAGGGCCTATACTCCACTGGGGGTTAGAAAAGCAGAATAGAAGGGTAAGAAGGAGAACTCCATGACAGGAGCATGCACAACAGGGGCCTACCGAACCTTAAAAGGAGTCCCCTTTTGACAAATTTTACTGCCCGTTTACCTACTAGACATTCTTGGGGGCGGGCCAGCCCAGGTCATGACGTCCTGGGCCTCGGACTTCTCTTGCTGCACTGATCGGACATTATGGTAATTGTAACAGGTACTGAGGTTATGGTGGTACTTGCTATGGTAGCAAATTAACCACCTACCTATGCAAACCAGAGTAAATAAATGGACGGTTGGTTAAAGCTATATACTTAGCTATATAACAATTACTGCTGTGTAAGTTAGTAGTTAAGCTATATAACATTTATTGTCATGTGGGTAAGAAGTTAAGCTATATAACATTTATTGTCATGTGTGTAAGTAGTTAAGCTATATAACATTTATTGTGATGTAGGTTAGTTAAGCTATACAACATTTATTGTCATGTGGGTAAGAAGTTAAGCTATATAACATTTATTGTCATGTGGGTAAGAAGTTAAGCTATATAACATTTATTGTCATGTGTGTAAGTAGCTAAGCTATAAAACATTTATTGTGATGTAGGTTAGTTAAGCTATCTAACATTTAGTGTTAGTAAGTAAGTACGTGAGATATATAACTTTGACTGAGATATAGGTAAATAGTAAGTTATATATCTTAAGCTATAGTGTGGATAGCTGGCTAAGCCACCTGCCTTGCGCTATGAAGATTGTGGGTTTATTTCATGGATAGTCATAAAACTTTCCTGATGACTGTCACTGGTGCAGTAGAGCTTACGCCATGCGTGACACTTGGCAGATGGCCAGCCATTCTGAGAAGAAAGATCAAGTGCATCTTCTTCTTGACATAACAACCTATATGACCAGCCACCCTTTAGACCACAAATAAAAAAAAAGTAAGTAAATAGAGATAACTACAATGATATAGTCAAAGCATTCTTGGAATGGATACAATAGCGTACACAGTATGAATTTTCACATTATGTACAATAATTGTACACGCACAGATTCACTTTCCATGCTTTATTTATAATTTGGGCTATCCTCTGAATAACGGTCCTAAATTATAGAGGCGGAAAATATACCCTAATAGGGCCTCAGTCACGTGTCAATTGCGCACTTCCCTCGTCTTAAATTGGGCACTTCCGGCAACTTCCGCCATCGCCAAGAGTATCCCCCACGCCACTCGTGCAGTGTGGATTGAGGTTAAACTAGATGGCTGGGACTCACTACCATCAGCTACCGCATCTCCTGCAGCTTCATTAATTTTATTTGCTCATGAGTCCTAGCCATCTAGTTTAGCCCCAATTTACGCCGCGTGAGCGGCGTGGGAGATACTCTCGGCGGTGGCGGAAGTTCGCAATTCGGCGGTGGCATTATAGTCCCCGGAAGTGCGCAATTGACACGTGACTGGGGCCCTGTTTCTGCCTTGATAATTTAGGACCGTTTTTCAGAGGATAGCCATAATCTGTATAGCCCATCTGAATAAAAAATAATGTTTAAAAATACTAATTTGACTTATGACCATTTCGACTTGTTACATTTAATGAAAAATAGTTGCAAGTAGACCCTCTGTATGGAATAAAAAGTGGCGCAAATAGGCTGATTTATATTTTTTTACTTTAAACCTTCAAGTGCATTTACTTGAACAAATGATGTTTATTAATCATAATCATCACGTAGCAGGTCCTTTGCAGAATGTAGCTCTCATCAATAGTTTGCCTGAAAGAAACTTTCTTGCAAGCTCTCCCACCTCATGTACCATAATATTCAAGGAGTCATTTATATCCTGTGCCTATCTTCATATTGGTCAGCCCCTTTCTGGTACCATGCCTTCTATTATTTTTTTCAGTCCACCATGGTACTTGATATGACCAAAATATTTCAGCTTCCGAGACAAGATGCAGTTTATTAGCCAATCTTCCTTGATGTTCTGATCTTTTAAAATGTAAGTAATTCTCCTAGTCTTTTTCCATGATATTCTGAGAAACTTTTTATAGCATTTCAGCTCAATAGCCCCTTTTTTCTTCTTCAAGGATTGGGAGACAGTCCACGACTAATATCTGTATGTTGCTACAGGGAAGATTCATGCTCTCAAAATTTAATTTCCTTTCTGGTGCTTAACCAGAAACTATTTACACTTCTGTCATGTTTCCATTTAAAATTTTTGGAAATATGTTAATTTATTGATCTTATACTCCATGCCATATAAGTATATGGCTGGTATGTCGGCTCTCCTTTAAACTACGGCCGGTTAGTCGGAGTTCAGTCCCTTGGCTGCAGTGCAATTACGAAGTGGAAAAGAGGGAACGAAACAAATGACTTAATTACTGTGTGTTGGCGATAGACAGCGTGCAGTGCCCTGCTGTCATCATACGGCTAGGGTTTGGGGTAGGGTTTGGTTTAGGGTTAGGGGTATGGTTTGGGCTAGGGTTTGGGTTAGGGTTAGGGTCATACAGATCCGCAGGTGTCACATCTACGGCCACTATGTCTTGCGTCGCAAGACCGCGGTCGCTAATGTGGGTCGCAGCGCGTGGTCTAGCTCTAGCAGCCATGTCGACGGCACTTTGTTTTGTGATTCGTGACTTCTCCACTCCGTAATTGCACTGTAGCCAGGGGATTAAACTCCAACTAACCGGCCGTAGTTTAAAGGAGAACCGGTATGTCTTTCCACAGGCTTCTATGTGATATACTGTAAATGATCACATCAGATACTGAAATACAGATGTGCTTCTTCCATGAAAAAACCGTCCAGCACCTGAAGGAGATGCCTACATTTTACCTAGTCCATAAAGAAAAAATAGAATCAAATATATAGTGGGTCTGTACCAATCAAATGAATTGGGAACAACAGTATTAATACAACACTGCTCTATCGGTGTGATGCCGTGTGGGGCAGGTGATCAATGTTGGTGTTCACGGTCACCGATCACGCTTTTCCCCATCTTTCTGATTGCAAACTCATCATAGAATAAAAAACACTGCTACATCACACATCTTTCCATGCCACGATAAAGAGATGTCAATACTCTTATCTCTTTGCCTTCCTAATCTATGTATTCCCATAATTTTTTCTCCAGTTTTTTTTTAATTTTTCTCGCGTGAGGATGATGACACGATGGTCTTCTTTTGTAAGCTAATCTAAGAAAAGTAAACTTAAAAAATAAATATCGGCGGCTTAGTTACTTTCAAACTAGAATGCAACATTATGAATGTAATTATTTTCATATATAAAAGTAACTAGAAAAAAAGTTTCGTAATTAATATTGATATTTATTACAGCTTCTCTTGCTTGATTAGCTGTTCTGATGGATTGATAACTTAGTTCCGTCATTGCACGCGAAGTATTGTTGTTGGTTGTGAAGGTACACAAATATGGCGGAAGATGTCTCATACCACGTCAGGAAACATACCGAACGTAATGCTTATGCAAACGTAACGTAAAACAAATTTTATTTATCCTGAAAATAGATAAATATTTTGAATCAAGACGTTTTCTTTTGTAAGAACATTATTAACACACAAAAAACAACCCTCTATATTCTAGTATTTGCTTTTTAAGGTTCGTTATGTTAAATTACATCATTATAATGGTACGGAGCCACCAATAACACAGACTTATTTAAACGGTAAAATATCATGTTTTAATGGTGGTCCCGTACCACTATAATGAAACACAATGTGCCTTGAAAAGTTGAATTGAGCCAAGAATTGACATCATAGCACTCGGGGCTCCCATGGGCGCTCCACCTTCATCTTCAGCAGCAAGGGCAGCGTTAAGTTCCAATACTAAAGGTACAGGTTGTAATCTGGTTATATTCCAATATCGAGCAAAGACTACTAATACTTCTATTCTACGGTCTGGTCCTTTCACCCATTGAATATGCTCTGGCCATCCTCACTGTCAGTGCTACCCAGATTGAACGACTCGAAAAGGTGCAAAATGAAGCCATGCGCATTATTTTGGGATTTACAGGAGACACATCCTGTGGAGCAATGAGGTATCTACTTGACTTTCCAACAATGAACCAAAGGATCAGGGTGTGGAGGGCTCGGGCATACCTCAAAATATGTGCTGATAAGAAACACCCACTGCATCAAGCGCTTTTTAGTAAAAAGGGCGACAGACTGAAGAGGGGAAAATCTTGGCTAGGTCGGGCAGAAGATGTTATTAGGCAAATATGCAGCCTAACCGACATCATACCTGGTGCAGAATGGATACCTGTGCCTCAGGCGTTTATTTGTACATTTTCCTGTATTGTCACACTCAACAGGCGATGTAGAGCAGAGAATCCTGTTGCTGTTAATGCAGAGGTCAACGCTCTCATCGGTGAAAATTTAGACGAAGCAGATGCACTAATCTATACAGACGGATCCGTTATACGCCAAAGAAGAAGCGCATGGGCATTTACAGCACGCTCAGGGGGCAGAACAGTCAACGAAACCAACGGCGCCTTCTCCATGACAACCAGCAGCATGACGATGGAGGTGATGGCAGTGACACAATCGTTTGCCTGGCTTGAAACACAAAAATACACCCGCATATGTATACTCAGTGATTCAATGAGTATGATCCAGAGGGTTCAGGCAAGTTCAGTGAGAAGACAATGGCTTGAATCAATTCAGAAGTCCACTGTGCGTGGAGTCACCTTTATTTTTGTTCCGGGACACGCAGGCGTCGATGGAAATGAAAGAGCTGACAGGTTGGCTGGATACGCTATCACTACCGACGGTCGGCCTATGGATCATGCTGATATTATCAATGCCCTCAGAGAAATGGGAAGGCTAGAGGACTTTGGTGGCAGTGAATCCACATCACTCGCCAGAATGGCAGACTTGGGAATTAAGATCGGCACAGCAAAAAACGAGACGCACACCGGACACGCCAGATGACTTGTTAACCAACATAGAACTGGTACTATTAGCCATCAAACGTTGGGGTTCATACTGAGGGGAGGATCTGAGCACCTATGGACATGTCCGGAGTGCAATGATGATAACCCAACTAACTAACTAACTAGCTAACTAACTAACTGGTTATATGTACGTCTTGCTCTCCTCTGTGTGTAGTGAGCCGGCCAAACGTCTAGTTACACCCAGGTGCATCATTATCTCTAGGTTATAATAATCTTGTTTCTCTTCTGACTTCGTTGCATGTTCCCAAAGGGCCTTGATCACACCTGCCTTGTCATGTATCAATTCACCTCCCAGTGGTGCAGATCCAGCCAATCTGTCTGCTTGTTCATTCCCCAACACGCCGGCACATCCTGGAGAAAGGATCCAAAGTATGCTCACTATCTGTGACCTTCCCAGTAAAGCTTGCCCCTCTTCTCGAATCATCCCTGTCTTCACCTTTCTTAGCATGCTCTAGGAGTTTGTTACAATCACGTTATGTGTATGCATCTTGTTCTTAGGCAACCGGAAAGCTGCAGTGACCACCTCCACCTCCATTCTCATGCAAGATATTGTGGTATCGTATGTTAACCTGGTCTGCACTAAAGAGTTTCCATTGGCTTTCGCTACGAATCCCAGGCACTTTTCCTGCCCCTCCACACAGAACCATCTATATAGATAATCAGATCATCTGGGTGAGAATTGTCGTGAATTAACTGTTGGACTTCCACCTCCGTAGAACCCGCTGGCCACTCTCTGCATCCCGGCCCAATGTCATCATGACCCTACATAGGTCAGACTTCCTCTCTGGTACTCTGACCTACTTCTCTCCTTGCCCAATGTTCTCCAGCATGCATACTTGATTTATTGTGTCTTCTGCTTGAGCCATCCACGATAAGACATGAAATCAATAAAATGATCCCATTTTATCTCTGCTGCACAGCACGTGAAAAATTATATCCTATCTTTCTTATCTCTTTCTGTGCACATCAGTTCTTCGCTTGAGCTTAGGAATGTCTGTCGTACTTTCTTTAAACTCTTTACCTTAACTAGATTTGGAGATAGGTACCGAACATGGCAGATGGTAACTTCCATGATCGCACAGGAACGTTAATTTAGTATCCAATACCGCTGACTGGATAACCAACGCCAGGTCAATAGCCATGACTGCATCGCCGGTCCTCATTCCCATTCTAGTTAGCCTCCTATAATTTGAGCAAAGTCCGAATAGATCATGGCGTCAGCAAGGGCAACTTCCTGTCGGGTTTCCCCAGTACTGTCCCATTCATTGTTCCGTGTATTGAAATTCCCACAAATGAGGAGCCTGTTGCCAAGGATTCCCTCCAGGTATTTCAGCCAGTCCCACTGTTGCTTTGTAACTAATGAGTCCATGGCAGCATATACATTTATTATGTCCCACTTAGGCCGCCAATCTCCATCTGTATTCCCTGCTCCTCAAAGGCATGATGATTCCAAAGAATCAGGCCAAGCATTACGTTTCAATCCCCCCTTCACTAGCAGACATTGCTTATGTCTACTATGTCCAGCAGCGTTTACATAACTGACTTATCAAAGGCAATGATATTTGTCCGCATACAGCTCCTGGAGCATGATTACATCAAAATCATATATCAACCTTTCTACTATGGGCCCTCTCTATCTGGCACTACGACAATTCCAAAAGCACACTCTTACATGACTGAACCCCAGCCGTTCTGTTTTTCGCCTAAATATCCTGGCTCCTGTTCTTCTGTTTATCTGCTTTCTTCTCTAACAAATTCCTAGTTTTCTTCTTTTCGCTGCTCGCTGAAGATGACGTCAAGCGCAGCGCACGTGCTCCGTAGCTCAGGCGACAATTTTTAAAAAATAAAAGTTCATATGATGAACTTGACAAGTTGTAACAATGTAATATTATTATTTTGCCCATTTAAACAAATAATCTTCATAAATGCTGCATAGTTAGCATCTATTAGGTCTGTTCTCAGTCATGCAAGTGCATTGGGAAAGGAAAAGTCAGGCAAATTGGCTGGTTCTGCACCATTGGGTGATAACGGATGCATGACAAGCTAGATGTTCTAGTCCAGGACCTTAGAAAATATGCGAACAACGAAGACAGGCGAATAGATCTTAGTCTTAGTCGAGTTTCCAGCTACCCTTGTTCCCTTCCAGTGCCAGTCTTCTTCGTCTTTGTTCACCGGCTGTGAGCTTCAGTGGAAAGTTCTGGTTATTTGTCCGTTTGGACTATAGCTTTGTGCCAGGGCCTGAGTGTTGCGTGTACATCAATTTTACTGACTTATTTGTGTGCAGTTAGTTGTTCTTTGCTGCTCGTGCAGATGCACCCCGACTTCGAAGGAAGCTCTCAATTTAGTCGACTCTTACGACATGCTTTTTGGGTAGGCAGCGGGTCTGTTCTTGTTTTCGCCACAATGGAGTCACGGAACCCACACTTGGGGGGGGGGGGGGGGGTAAACGAGAAAAAAAAAAAAGGGGGGGGGGTGCTTGTGAAGTAAAATGCCCTTCTCTGTCGTCTTTGGAAAAACAGGTAAATAAAATAATTAGCCCTGACACAATAAAGAAATATGCGAAATCAGTAAATGCATAAGGCTGTTGCTAGAGCCTACGCTGCATTTATGGTAGCCACTGTGGACTCTGGCGCCTCAAGCAACAGCCATGCATTTACTGATTTCGCATGAGTCCACAGTGGCTACCATAAATGCAGCGTAGGCTGTCATTTTCGCCCTCTCATACAATCATCAGAATCGCGAATTAGGTCACTTTCCTTGTGTGGTTCCCCCATGTGGCCAAGCCATCCAGGTATATATAGCTTCGTCTTTCCTTTGCTCTCTTTAATCTCCATTGTCCTTTTCAGGATGAAATTTTTTATTTGAAGCTCCACCCTGGCTTTTGCTGGGGGCCGCAATATAGGCAGGCCATAAATATGGCCAAATGTCTGAACGCGGTTTCTGGGACCTCTCCACGGCGATTCTCATCCGCATGGTGGCACATTGTGTCATTGGGTGTTTATCGCTTGTGTGATGTCCTGGTGGGGTAGAAAGTCAATCAATTTGCTCTCTTCTATCACTCTTGCCAGTTGTTACAAAGCTCTCGAGTCTTCTCAAAATGCTAAAATGTCCACACACACTTGCGCGCGCACACACACGCGCGCACACACAGACGTGCGCGCTCACACACATGCACGCACACACACACACACATATCTGTCTACGTCCAGTTCATTTGTGTTTTTTGTTTTTTAATCACTCTGTGATATTCTTTTCATTTTTCTTAAAAATAAAATTTCTGCCATAAGTAATTTTTTTGTTCAACTTATCTGCATATTGTCCGTGTCTCTCATGCAAATAACACGGATTCTAAAGAGCACTGTGAGATTTTTTTTTCTCTTCCTGCATTTGACGATGTTATTGTTATATATATAGTACCTACCCGAGCCAAAGGGTTTACAACTCATGGTTTCTGGGTACGTAAAAAAAAAAATAATATATACTTTATACTAGAGACCCCAATTGGGACCTTCTAAACTTTGTAATAGTAATTTTTTTAAAAAAATATCCTATTCAACCCTCAGGTTTAAAATGAGATGTATAGTGCTAATTGAGATCTCAGTGTGTATGTTATTTTAAATTATATATCATGCATACAAAAAGAAATGTAAACAAAATAAAGTTTGGCTCACTAAAAATAGCCTGTGTGAATGCCTGGCACGACCACCTGCAATAAATAGCACATCATAACATTGTCTTTAACAACACAGCAGGGCCACATCTCAGTGATTTACAGGTACTTGTGGCAGATTTTCTGCCTCTTTCCTGTTTTGTGACAACTGTCAGCGCTATATTATATCTTTGAAAGGTTGCAGTGCAATTTACGAAGCGTATCTATTTAAAACTAATATGGACGTGCGAAGAAGGAAAGGAACATTCAGTCAGTGGGTTGGGCTGCATTTTTTTTATTACACAACACGGTGACTCAAATTTAAGTCCTGCACAGGAGGTCGATGATTGATGGATGATATTGATAATTTAAGCCGTAGTCGTGTTGGAAATTATTCAGATGGTATTACACGAGCCTTTGGAAAACGTATGCTACCATTTGTTGCATTGTGTACTTGTTAGTTTACTTGAACATTGATTGTGACCATTTCAGTAGTCAAATCCATATTTATTTATCAGAACAGCGATTTGGTTAACGTTGGATATATATATATATATATATATATATATATATATATATATATATATATATATATATATATATATATATATATATATATATATATATATATATATATATATATTATATGTCCTGTTGTGCATGTATGATACTGTTATAATTTTTGTAATAAGCTAAAGCAACACTGGTACAGTTTAAATTCCTATGGTTATTTATAATAATAGTGGACTACCTGCTCCCTTGACTACATTCCCAACTTGGCTAACCTCCAATAAAAATAATGGTCCTAAATCATAGGTTAACTTCTCCCCTGGGTCCTAGGTTTCAAATCTCCCCTGGGTCCTAGGTTTAACTTCCCCCCTCAGTACTAGGTTTAACTTCCCCCTGCGTCCTAGGTTTAAATTCCCTCCTGGGTCCTAGGTGTAACTTTTCCTCTGGATCCTAGGTTTAGGGGCAACAAGTATTACAATTACGACACTGCAACCAGAATCTGTCACAACAGCCCAACAGCGACACTAATGACCAAAGGGTTATGCTTGGAACTGAACCAGGCGCAGCGTTACGAAGGCAGGACTAGTCGCACAATTTGCCACCCACCCCTTGTGTATTTGTCGGAAAGAAATGCTAATTTTACACACCATTGTGGCCCTGTTAGGGTATTTTTTTTTGCCTTTTATAATTTAGGACCATTTTTCAGAGGACAGCTCCCAATCTCTCTCTCTCACTCTCTCTTCTTTCTCCTCTCTACTCATATTATTATTTGTTTTTAATAGTAGTAAAATTGGTTACACAACTAAGGAATACTTTATGTTCACTGTCTTAGTAAGCATCAGGTCAAATGAAAATTAGATGAGTTGAGTATGAACATAATAACTTCTTAGGAGTTAACATATGGCTGGGATTTAAAGAGTTAACTCTTTCAGGTCCATGAATTTTGACAGACTTGGCCAACATTAATTTCCCTTTACAAAGAGAGCAGAGGGGGTGGTGAATTATATTTATAATCCCTAGAAAAGTATATCTATATATATATATATATATATATATATATATATATATATATATATATATAATATATATATATATATATAGATATATATATATATATATATTTTTTTAAAGATAAATTAATGTACATTTTAAATCTGTTGATGTTTTTGTTTAACACTCTTAGTAGGAAAAAGGAATTCAGCAGGTATTATGGTTGCAAAAAAAAATCTTCACTTACCATGGTTTTGCGCCCACAAGAGCAGCACATATCCATTTTTAAGAATTGAGACTAAAGTTTGTGCAGTTTCCTAACAGATTCAAAAGTTATGATTCTGGTTAAGTTTATCACTTAGAGGCTCTAGGTTCTCATAGAGTGATGAACAGAATTTCAAAGAAACAGAATGGCAGAATTTAGACCTATACACACAAAATATTAACTTTGTGCAGTTATATACAGGCTGTAACTGAACGATATTAACGCAGCTTAGCCTTATTATCGCATTGTCTGAAACAGTCCTTTGGATGCAAATGTGGGTGACTATAACATCCTTCACAAATGAAATGGGTCCTACTGGGTTTGACCGCTCGGCTGTCTCTGGTGTGAATTTTACCATCTAAATGATTTTTATTTTTAATTAACAGTGAAATTGAGGAGATGAAAAATAACAATGAAAGCTGTTCTACTTATTTGATCTGTTCTTTTGTAAAGTATTCTACTACTCCCACCTCATTTAGAATATATGAAGCCTTATTTTACACTGATAGCAATAGCTGCCATTGGGTTACCTTTATAGTTTAGTGTTTTGCTTAATTTATTTCCCTGTATGGTTTCTGGGGTCCTGTTGTGGGGGGGGGGGGGGTGGATGGATGGACCCACTGCCCCTACTCAGTATTTTCATTTGTGACTGGGGTGGATAGGTAAAAATAAATCCAACAGTTATTTAATATTTTTGTTTGGGGTCTGCATTTTTTAACCACATTTCAGCCACTATAGGTGTTTAAAACATTGGTGAGAACTTCAAGATGATGGAAGAGGCTAATGATGAACAACCAGAAATGGTGTCCCACGAGGAAGCTGTCCTGGCGGAAAAAGAAGCTACAGAGAATTTGTCATTATCCTTAACAGGTGGTCAGTCACATTTTCAAGTTTTTATAATAGTATAGATTTTAGTTTGAATTTCTGTACACAACTATCTATTACAAATTAGTCTGTGGCTTCGGGAGTTGCGAATGCGCTTCATAATGCCGGGTTCGATGCAAGCTGCTGACGATTTGTCCTACTTTGGTTTCGACAATGGTACTGAGAGTTTACAGTTAAGGAAAACAGTGGCAGATTGATGAACGTGAAATTTGCCTTGTAAAACCACAACAGCCCCAAAAGAAGATGGGATTGGTTCTGCAGCATCCTGTAAAGGGTACACAACCAACTAATAAGAAAAACTATAATCGATGGGAGCTGCCGCTGGCTAGCATGCTTGCCTGCCAGCCCCGTGATCAGAGGTTTGACTTTGTATTGAGATAGATTTTTAAAAATGGACCTAAACTTACAGGTTGACTAAGTTTAGATTATAAGTGGTCTTGGGAAGTGAGGAAAAATGACTCCTTTCGCCTTTTATGCATATCATTTATATAGATATATATATATATATATATATATATATATATATATATATATATATATATATATATATATATGTGGTGTGTGTGTGTGTGTGTGTGTGTGTGTGTGTGTATTTATATTTGTGTGTGTGTGTGTATACACATATATACACACACATACATATATATATACACACACATTCATATACATATTTATGCATACACATATACACACATTCATATGTGGGCCACATATAATTATACCAGTCAGCATTCAGTGGCTAATATGGTCAGCATAACATTAGCTACCTTTAATTCCCCAAAATATTTTTGTTCATAATTGTTTTAGATTGGCTAGACCTGGGGAGGTCAGGTCAACAGTATCAATAATTTCCTGAAGATGAATTCGAATCCATGACCATCAGCCGGCAGGCAAGCATTATAGCCGCTGCGCCACCATGGTTTTCTTTTCTTGTGTACTTTACAACCAGCATTCAGGGAGCTGCATGTTCTCAAGGCATGGTGTCCGTCTCAAGGGCTGGAGGTCCCAGATTCAAGCCCTGGTGAAGGGTGGAACTTTTTCACGTGGACTTCTAGTAATTTCCCCTGGTTTCTGGGTAGTAAGATCGGAAGCCCGTGTGTACTGTTGCAAACATTAAAAAAATCCCTTGGCAGTTGGAAATCGAAAAGAGTATCCTAACGGTTCTGCCCGTGCAAAATTTGGAGTTGAAAATCTACCCAAAGTATTTCAGGATCCTCACCGGTGCTAGCACTGCACAGAGATTCTTCGGACTCAAGCTCGATTCAGGAGTAGAACGGAGCGCTTGTGGGTGATGTTGATCTGTCATCTAAACTGAAACAATTAGTATGCAAAAATTAACCAAGATTTCCGTTCACAGGTTTCCCCTCATCTTATAGCCCCTTGCCTGTGACACTGGCAGCACCTTCACCTTTGCCAGCATTTCTCGGCAAGTCACTGACATCTCAGGTAATTTGCAATTTATTTGTATAATCTTCTAGTTTCTCTGCCATCTATAGTGGAACCTCAGGATACAATGTAATTCACCATAAGAAGTTATTCACCATACGAGGTTATTCACTACACAGAATTATTTACCATACAAAGTTATTCACCATACGAGGTTGTTCACCATACAGAGTTATTCACCATACAAACTCAGTCAAGGAATTGAGTAAATTTGTATCTTGAGGTTTTGCTATATTTTAGGGAAGCAAAGATGTTAGAAAGGGAATTTGGTCACTTTACCTAATTTGTTGTCCCAAACACTTAACACAGCAAGTGACAGTTTTGTGTGTGTATGGGATTACTTTGATTTCTCACCAAATGTTATTTATACTCAACACTGCTTTTATGGTGTCTTGAGACGTGGGGGGTGAATAAAAAGTTATTGAGTCTGACCAAAATTCCCTTTCTAACATCTTTGCTTGCCCTAAATCTAGACAAAACCTCAAGATACAAACTTTACTCAATTCCTTGACGGAGTTTGTATGGTGAATAACTCTGTATGGTGAACAAACCTCGTATGGTGAATAACTTTGTATGGTAAATAATTCTGTGTAGTGAATTAACCTCGTATCCTGATGCGTATACTTCTTATGGTGAAACATTGTATCCTGAGGTTCCACTATAGATGGCAGAGAAACTAGAAGATTATACAAATAAATGTGGGTATACAGAAGAACCAGTTGTATTTCATGGAAACAAAAACAGTCATAATCAGAGGTTCTGAAAAGGCTAGAAAAGAGAAGAGAGTTGCTTAAAAAAAAAACGTGAAATATTAACCCTTTCAGCCTCACAAATGTGCTTGAATAAAAATGGCTCATAAACACATAAGTATTTTAGGGGAAAAAATCCTTAAAAAAAAAAAAAAAACCATATTACACTGGCCGGTATTGCATTAAAAAAAAAAATTATTAATTTGAATTTTAAAACGTTTTCCTGAAATATGTAAAGATATATTGAGGGGTAATCAATAAACACAAAAATTGATTTTAATACATAAATGGTGTGATGTATTTATTGTGGACATTATTTATACTAGTTTTCTTTTCAACTTAAAAAACAGGTTCTCGTCTTCACAGTACTTTTTCATGTTCAGAATTAATTGTTCCAAGCTCTGTACACTGTTAGAAAGGAGAACTGTGTCATCTGCCTATCTGAGTTCTGGGGATATGTTTGCCTCCAGTTGTGAGTGGATTGAGACTCTCATGGGCCTCTTCACCAATATAAAAATAATACTTGAGGGAAAATTTAAGGCAAGCGAGCAAGAGGGAGACAACTTCACAAGTGAACGAATAGCATCAAGAGATGGACGAACACATTCTGGAAGAGTATACATCCAGGGAGAAAGCAGAGTGTGGTGAAAATTGGTTGTAACCATCCCACATTGACGTGACAGCAAGTCAGGGTCTGGTAACTACTAAATATAAAAATAAATAGAAAGAGAAAAGCAGAATAAAAATTGAGGAATTAGTTAGTCTTTCCTCGTGAGCCTAAAGCGGTGCATAGAGCAGAGGTCATAGCTCTCTGTGTTTGGCAGTTCGTTGCCACCTGATTTAGGTCTTCGATATTCAATAGGCCTATAGTTGAGCCTTCCCTGATGATGGTTCTACGCAGAGTCTCTCTTGGTCTTTCCCGTTTTCTTTTCACTTCCTGTGTCCATATAAAGGCTTGATGGGAGAGTCTTGTCTTATCCAATCTGAGTGAATGGCCGATGTAGTTTCAGTAGCGCTTTCTTATAAAATGCAATATATTTTCTTGCTTGATGAATGTCATATTTAAAAAAAAAAGCATATCTTTTTTCTTCTGAGTGTTGACTGGCTGTAAATTGTGATGGACAGTTTGAGATATTTGTCCACTTCTAGACTTTTGTCATGTCCCAGAACTTGAGCTTTGTGTGCACATCCATTTATAGGTCTGGTTTATTTGTATGCAGGCTGCTGGTTCCTCGCCCATCAGGCAGATGCATTCCAACTTCAAAACAACCCACCATAATTAGTAACTTTTTAACGACATGCTTGTTTTGGGGAGCAGGAGGGCAGTGAGTCTATTCTCTTTCTCCCCTACCCCCAGGACTCATGAGGGATGCTTATAAACAGGTAAAACTGTTTTCCTTTCTGCACACTGATTTTTATTTATGATTCTGTTCATCTAGATAGCATCCCCATCACCAGCACCAAGTGTTTCCCGTGTGTCTTCATCCAGCCAAGAGCTCCCATCATTTGCTAAAGCACCAGGTATGGTATGTAATGTGATAGACAGTGCAGCACGGGACCTCCACCTGTGAGCTGTAGAAGGTGGCATTCTTCTTTTTCATCTTCTTCTTCTTCTTGATGTTTTTTTTTAAATTGAGGTTTATTGCTGATATACTCCCTGCATTTGCCTCTGTGATTGGCCTTTTCTTTGCATTTGGGGACTTTCCCTGTTTGAAGGTGTGCTTGAACATTATCTCTCCACAGTCTTCATGGTCTGCCTCATTTTGTCTATGGCAAAAAACTACCTTATGTACCTAGTTTTGGCCTTTCTTTCACCTAGTATTCTCTCAGTCTGCCCAATGTAGAGTTGTATTAAGATGTTTGGCATACTTTGAGTAATTTTGACACTTGTTTTCCAGTGCACACGTTATTACTGCCACAGTTTAAATTTGTTTTGGAGGTAAAGTTTTCTTTAATAATAAACTAATTACGAGATAGAAATTAAACTTTGGTGGTATAGTGATTAGTGTGTTGCTTCAAAAAGAATTCAGGTCAAGCCTGCATCTGAAGCAGCATTATCTTTTCCAAACTGTATAGCACTTGGGTTGGCAAACTTCGTAAAATGGGTTTTAGAGAAAATCTGAGAATGAAAGATAGAGAGGAAGGGAACAGAACATCCTTGCCTCATATGTCATGCAGGCTGTGGATAGATATGACTACCAATGCCACACGGCATGGTCTGTAAGAAGAAGATACGTGTCACACTATGATGTCATTATCTGCAATTGGACTACTTTTGCTACCTCCATGAGGAAGAAGTAGAAATAATTGATGCTCTATGTTTGTGAATACTGGAGTGAAAATAAGCAGTTTATGTAATTGACTTCTGTTTTATCCTCATAGAATCTCCCCAGATTCCTCATGAAGGACAGGTGAAGGTGCCAGAACCAGGCGGAGGACAACAGCTAGCTGCTAGTTTATCTAGCGCCGGTCAGGGGCTGTTTAGCTGGATTTCTGGAAACAGTCTAGTTAACAGAGTCGTTGAAAAAACCAAGGTTGGTTGGTGTTATCTCAGTGGGCTTGTGCTTTTTTTGTGTGGTTCAAATTATATTTGCATTTGCTTCAGTCAGATACTTTTTTTTAGAGTGTGGAAGTGTTGAGCTTCATTGTTTATATTTTAGGCCATGCCATAATGATGTGCGCTTACCAGTTTCTTTTGCCATTACCTTTTCTTTATACATGTGCACCCCCCCCCCCCCCCCACTTAAAAAAAAGCCAAATAAGAACACTTAATCTTCTTCTTCAGCAGGTCTCTTTGGGTTGAAAAGAAAATTTTTTTTTAGGGGGTGGGGGTTATTGTGATGTAATAAACTTATGATGGCGCTACTTTGCTCTGTGTTGCTGTGTCTACTCAAATGACATTTGCATAAAATAACGGCCATGAAAACTCCATCATTTTAGTGACTTGGGAGCCACAGACCACCCCCTCCCCCCCCTCCAGAAATATTATAAAAACTGACCAAGACTACAAATGTCTTCTGCTTCTTTGCTTCTTCTTCTCTTCCTCTAGTTTTTTTTAGGGTAGAGTATCTGAGAAGTATAACTATGTATTTCTTTTAAATGAAATTGTGAAAAGGTTAATTTTATAGTTTTTTTTAAAAGGGCTAAGGTTGTAAGTTCATTTTCAAACTGCATTCAGTTCATGTGATTTCTAGTACCTGTCGCTGGTGTTGTGGAGTCTTGTTCTGTGCATTGTTTTAAGCAAGTGGCCAGCTACTCTGTAAAAAAAGAGACTAAGCCAGATAGAAAAAAGACCCAGCGCAGTCATTCATTTTTGTCGACCTTTAATTAATTGTATATATAAACCAGTTTTTAATTTCCCATTTTCACATTATCAGAGTTCAATGGAAACTGTGATTACAACATTGGATCCAGGGATGAGAGAAGTCATCTGTGAGTACTGTGCTTAATCAGTTCATTAAACAAGTAGCTATTTGCATTTATGTTAGTTAAAAAAAAATTGGCATTAAATTAACGATAAAATAATGTCAGTTGGGCATCTTTCCCTAAGGAAGAGGATAGATCATTAGGTAGGAATGTTCTGATTTTGATTGATTGATTTTCTTATGTGGGTTCCAGAGTATGAAAAACAGTAGATCATCTTGTTCTTGATGTGCGCAAAAAGTGAATGAATTAGCCAGTCTTCTGTCTTCGCCCTTAAACATTTTTTTCCTTCAAATTTATATATATATATATGTGTGTGTATATATATATATATATATATGTGTATATATCATCATCATCATCATCCCGTAACACTGTGTGTCGTTGGGTCACTAGTTTCTGTTGACTGATCAGCTCTCTCCACCTTTAGGCGGTCAATTGCGATCGACTTCATGGTTGCATGCCTGAGGTCTGTCCAGTCAGTCAGGTTCTGTAACCAGATCTTTCTTCATCTGCCTCTTCTTCTCTTTCCCTCTACTGAGCCCTGCAGTATTGTTTTTGAGAGGCCGTTAGATCTTATTACATGTCCATACCATTGCATTTTTTCCTTTACTCTGTGGTTTAAAGAGATTCATAGTTGCTAGTGAGCTGGGTAACTTTATGGCGAACTTCCTCGTTTGTAATGTGGTCTCTGTATGATATGCCAAGATTTTTCTGAAACATCGCAGTTCCAATGCTTGTATCTTGCTTGTATCTTTCTTTTGAGTTCAGCTGTTAAGATCCACGTTTCCAGCCATATGTAAATGTACTAATTGCAAATGCTTTTAGCAGTCGAATCTTAGTTTTGCATTAAAAGTTTTTGATCTCCACAATGCTTGCTGCTTGGCAAAGGACTGATGTTGTCTGGGCAATCCTAGACATGATTTCTGATCTTGACCCCAGGTCAGTTAGATTCTAAACATTTGCAATGACTGACTTGTTCTAATTTGTGGCCTTTAACGTAAATTGGTGAAGTTATGCCAGCTGAATTATAAGTAATTTCTTTTGTTTTTCCATCTGCATTTATTTCCATGCCATACTTGGTTGATGTTTCATCGAGTAGATTTACAAGCTCAACTAGTTCTTGTTCTTCCCCACCCAACTTATCGATGTCATCTGCAACCCTCAAGTTTGTTATAGTTTGACCTCCTATCCTAACTGTTTAATGATGTTGTTCTAGGGCTTCAGTCATAATTCTTTTTAAGAAGATGTTAAACAGTGTTGAGGAGAGGAGGCAGCCCTGATAGACTCCTACTGTTGTTCGGAACCAGCTCCCTATTTGTGCATTCAGCGTGACTGCACTGCTGGCCGTGGCATTAAGCTGTTCTGTACTATGTATGAGGGCTTTACTCGTATTATACTTTTTCATAGTGTCCCAGAGTGCTGCATGCCATACTCTATCAAAGGTCTTTTTGAAATCAATGAACACATGGTATAAATGTTTTGGTGCTGGTGGTTTTGTTCTGTTAATTTGTATAGATTAAATATCTGTTTAACAATGCTTTTTCCAGCACGGAAACCCGCCTTTCCTCTGCTATGGTCTTTTCTGCATGCTGCTTTGATCTGTTTAGGAGTATCTTTACTGGAATGACTGATGAGACTTATAGTCTTATAATTTTGACATTGTAAATTTCAATTTTTTTGGGATGGTAATGATGAGTAATTTGGTATAAAGAGATGGCCATTCACCAGCTCCCAAATTTTGTTACCTATTTCAGTGAGCATGTCGATAACGTCCTCTCCCCCTGCCTTAAGAATCTCAGCTTGGATGTTGTCAGTTCTAAATGCTATTTTCTATTTTTTTATTTTTGATGGTCTGTTCTACTTGTTTCTGGAGTATTGGGAAGCTGTCATCTTCCTATGCTTGCTTGTTGTCAAGGATGCCGGTGTTGCAATTTGTTTGTTCGTTATACAGGCTTAAACAGTATTCGGACCATCTATTTAGGATGTCATTACTTTCTGTGAGAAGGTTACCTGTACTTGGTAACCCGGGCTACGATCAAGCCTGTGTAGAAGTATCTGATCTATTTTTTAATAGCATAGTGCGCCTCGGGCAGTATTTCAACTCTGGCAGGGCCCACTCCTTTCCAGGTGGTCATTTCCCTGTTAGCCTGTTTCCTCACCTAAACAGTTTCCAGTCTGCACCAGGGGAGGTGGGGGTTGGCTTGTGCGATCACGGGATAGCAGTAAGCTTTTCGCTTTTCACCCTCCTCGGAGAGCTAGCTGCCCCTAGCACTGCTGGCTGCAATGCCAGGCTTGACCACACCTTGCAGTCATAATATATATATACAGATATATATATATATACATATATATATATATATATATATATATATATATATATTATATATATATATATATATATATATTATATATAGGTGTGTGTGTGTGTGTGTGTGTACATATCCGTATATACACACATATATTTACACATGCAGCATATGAATGTGTGTTTTTAGAAGCATATATATGTGTGTTTAAACACTCACACACACATATATATATAAAGTAAAGGTCCCTTTTCCACACCTTTAGGCATATTGGGAATATAGGGCTAGACCATATTTTTATAGACCAATCTGCACTTGGTGGGTGATGTGGTCAGCATCACGCCGTCCGCCATTACTTCTTAGGACTGCACCGGGTACCTAATCAATCCTGGGAGCCAAGGTGATTTTTTAAGGAAAAGAAACGGCTTTGTCGAGACCCAAACCCACTAACTTCTGATCCTAAGGCAAGCATCTAACCTCCTGCGCCTGGTGACTCCCACGCACACACATATATGCATATATTTAAATATTTATGAGTGTGTGTATATATATAATATATAAGCATGTATATATATATATATATATATATATATATATATATATATATATAATATATGTGTGTGTGTGTGTGTATCTATATATACCCACACTTATATATCTGCATACACACAGTATATATATTATATGTAAAATCATTTATATATAGATACACACATATGTAATTAAAAAGAGGATGGCCATAGCAATGCAAAGATTGAACAGCCTTAAAAGTCTATGGTTAAGCACCAGCAAGGAGATAAAAATTAGAATTTTGAGAGCATGCATCTTCCCTGTGGCTACATACGGATGTGAGTCGTGAACTATCTCTCAGTCCTTAAGAAAGAGAAAAGGGGCTTTTGAGCTGAAATGCTATAGAAAGATTCTCAGAATATCTTGGACAAAAAAGATGAGAAATATTGACATCTTAAAAGATCTGAACATCAAGGAAGATTGGCTAATAAACAGCATTCTTTCTCGAAAGCTGAAATATTATTTTGGTCATATCAAGTGCCATGACCAATTGGAAAGTATTATAGCAGAAGGCATGGTACCAGGAAGGAGGGGCAGGGGCCGACCGACACGAAGATGGGCACAGGATATAAGTGACTCCTTGAGTGTGAAAGTGCATGAGGCGGGAGAACTGGCGAGAGACCAAGTTTCTTTCAGGCAGACTGTGATGAGAGCGACGTTCTGCAAAGGACCTGCTACATGTTGATGATGAAAGACAATAGATATATATATGAATATATATATATATATATATATATATATATTTAAAACACAAGCAACACGTGGTGTGGTGTTTGGGACACCAAGAATTAAAATATTATTATACTCTTGGGTAATATTTGGTTGATTATTTATTTTTGTAATGAGAAACATTGTTATAAATAAACCATTTTGTACTATCATTACTGGGTGATAATTGTTATGTCATAATACTTTCATATGGTGTTTTGAGAATGTATATTACTATTTTCTAAATTTTAGCATGTTGAAGTTAAAGAAAAGTGCATTACAATCTGAATAGGCAGTACAATTTCTGGTTACAGATTCTGGAGGAGATATCAACATCGTGGTAACATCAACTAAAGATAGTAAAGTTGTGCCCGTACGAGACGCATTTCAGAAAGTGTTTGGAAAAGCAACTGTGTCAGGCAAAGTATGTTAGCATATTTACATTGTTTTTTCTAAGTCTTCTTTGATCCTGTGATATTGATATCCTCGCTAACAGATAAAGAAAAAGAGGGGGGGGGGGGGGGGTAATTAGTGGAAATTAACAGTTTAACCTAGCAGCATGTCATGAGGAGCGACTAAAGAGTTAGCTAGTTAGTTAGTTGGGTTATTATCATTGCACTCTGGACATCTCCATAAAGAGTGTTGGCCAGAAGCTGGATATGTTATCATGTAGACATCTTTGGCTGAAGTATCTAGGTAATCATGTAAAAGTCTACAAGTTCCTGGCATGAGTTGGTTGAGGGCCTTTACTTCATTGACAGATCAAAGGCAAAAGGAAAAGAAAGAGGAGAATAAACTATTTAAGGGAGTGGTTCACATTTTGTAAAAATCTTTTGGAACCCTTGTCAGAATTAGTTTCTAGTTTCTGTGGCAGAGCCCCCTAGGCCTACTGTACACTGTATCTTACAAGTTAATGGTGTTTAGAAGTATTATGGCATTTAGAATGACCAAGCAGCAGCTGCCGGAGGAGGCATGAAATTCAAATTGGTAAATTTGCATTTAGAATGTTATTTCCAATTTTACATTTTTTAATTCAAATTTTTCTGTTACATCATTATTTATTTTCCTAGAAAATGAGGTGAATATTGATAAAAATCTGTGTATGGGTGGAAGTTGTGCATTCAGTAAGAGAACTTAGTCGCTGGGTTCAGAGTTGAAGCTTGAGAAAGTTGAAAGATTGACCTGAGGATGTTATACATGCTGTGAAGAAATGTCTGTGGGCACAGGAAAAGCCTGAAGCAGGCAGGGTGTACATACCCTAGTTTTGCATTGACAATTAGGTCATAGAAGTAGATGGAGATTCTGTTACAAATATTTCTAGGATGGATATTATGTAAAGAATTATATAAGATTCAGGTGGCAGGGTCACACTTGGAGAATGGAGGATGTTAGAGTCCCTAAGGACGTCGAGTATGGTAGGGTCCTTAAGGACATCATTTCTGGTGAATCATAGATGGGTGGAAGATGTTGAGGACAGCCTCTTATAAGATATAAAGAAGCGTGACTCTATAACTTGAATCATACATGTATTTTGGTAACTTCATGGGAACAAAATGCCATGGACCATTTTGAGTGGAGGAGGATAATCAGGAAGGGAATGGGAGTAAAGGAGCAAATGATTACAGAAAGTTTGAGGGCCGAGCGTCTGAGAAAAAGCACATTAAATACATGTGATGGCAACAACGGCCCTGAAACTCCATGCTCTAGTTATGCTAGACTTGTCCTAATGTTGGTAGTTCTTGCTAGACACACTCACCATCGCCGTGGGCTACAATACCCATGCCTCCACATAACACAACATGACACTCTTCTGAAGACAGAATGCTTTAAGTAATTATGTGCAAAGAATATCATGAATTATATTGTCAGTGATTATTTGCACATAGTTTTTGAGAATATAAATGTGCGGTATTATTTCTGAATCCCCCCTCCCACCACCAGCATCGCAATACATGATCATGTATCTTATACAGTGTATTCTTTCCTCTCCTAGGAGTGTCAAGTTACAGTGGCTGTTCAGCCAGTGGGATTCATGGCTGGAGTGAAGGGTGCAGAAGAAAGAATTTCCAGCTTGAGAAAAAGTGGCAACATCCCGCATGACCTGACAGTTATATCTATAGAAGGCTTTATTGTGGAGATTGTGCCAGATAGGTAAATATATGAGAACTATTTGTTTTTTCATGTCACATTTCTGCAGTGTTTCGGTCTTTAAAAAAAAAATATAATGATATATAGATCTGCTTAACTAAGACCCAAGCAGCAGTGTGAGCGTTGATTGAGAAGTTCCTTTTTGCGAATAAAACCGCTATCATCGTCAATCGTGTATCCCATACGTTTTGCTTCGCACACGGCTCCGTACTTGTTTCTAATATTCAGAAGTACGATTAAACTATTCAGGGAAAGTCACTCTGCCGAAATCCTTACAAATACATTCCCTATCAGAAACCACACATTCATAATTTGATCGGATTCACAGTGAATTTGTTTTCAACAGTGCATTTTCTAAGTTCGTTTTCGAGTGCCATGAATACCAATGTACCCACCACAAGTACAGGTGGCAGAATGTGTCTTTCTGCGGCCGAAGCTCTGAAATTGTTTTAGTCAGATATTTTTAATTCTAATAATGATAATCAAAATTTTTGGGAAAGTGATTCAGACGGTGATTTTTCAACAGCGAATATAGTGATTCTGATGAGTTTATTACACAGACAATGTCCCATTGTTACCATATTTATGGTGTAAGAGAAGGAAAGTGCTCTAAACAAAGATTTTGTACTATACTATGGCTAAGCTACATTGAAATCATCGCAGTTACAGTCTGTATGTAACTGTACAAATTAAATAGTAAATTTCATGTGTGCAATGGCTCATTTTTTGGCTATTTTTCTCTCTGAAATTTTGCTTAGCACTCTGTGATAACTTAGAGCCCCTGAGTGCTAAACTAACCCAGAAACTTATCATGACTTTGGAATTTGTTAGGGAATTGAACAAACTTTGAAGTTTTGTTCTCAAATTTGGTTATTAACTACTCTTGTGGCTGCAAAGTCAAAGTTAAGAATTTGTAAAATGTTGTTGTTGTGAAATTAACACCTGCTGAATTTTTCTTTCCTACTAACCATAAACAAATTAAACATACACTTATCATCAGATTCAAAATGTAAATTCATTTCTCTTTAAAAAAAAAAATATACTTTTATTAGGATTAAAAGTATATTAGATTCTCTGTTGCCTTTCTTATACACCAACCCCTCTGTCATTTTTTTTGTAAGGGAAATTAAAGTGGGCTAAGTCTGTCAAAATTCATGGGCCTGAAAAAGTTAAGTGCCTGTCTCCCTGTGTTTTTCTCCCACTCTCTGTTTCTTTCTCTTTCACACACTATATATGTATCCAGTATGGTGAATAGGCTGGCTGACCAATAAAGTTAGATATGTTATTTGCTTCTAGCCATGATTTGCTGTCCCCCCCCCCCCCCCCCCCTCCTCCTCTCATTTTTGTACTGAAAGAACATAGTTCCATCACCTAGCAACTGAGTCGACTGCATGGTACAATGCCATGAGCCCTGAATTTCACGAGGAATGTTTTTTAACTGTGTCCAAGGTGCTTTGTGTTGAGAACTGCACATTCAGAAAATGTTTGTCCCATTTAATTGTTTTTTCACCACAAGGGACATCTATGCAGTTTTTACAGGCATAAGAATATAGCAATTTTAGGGTGACCCATTTGCCATGAAACTGGAACAAGACTAACATCTCTTTTTTTTTTCTGTCTGTCAGTCTGCATGTCTGCCCCTCTCTCTTTCTCTCTCTATATATATCTCTCTCTCACACTCAGACAGATACACACATTTATACAATTTTGTTTTCTCATAGACATTTCCTAATAATTTTGTCTGAAAAGATTAAAGGACTCTCTTTCATGTCTTGGAGGGTCTTGGATATATGATGTTAGCCTTATGTTCTATCGATCTACCACTATTTTTTAGACAGGGTCAACATTTAGACCAAGGTAAGTTTGTAAAAAAAACTCTACCTTTAGCCAGATTTGAACTCATGAACACCAGGTCAGCAGACAAGCATGCTATCCCCTCCAGTTCTGTGGCACCTGTTTGTTTGATTAAAGCTAGATAAAACAGTGTGCTGACATTTGTAATGTGTTTTTGTGGTCACTGAACCTCCTCGAGGCCTTAGAGATGTGGTTTTTCAGAAGAATGCTTAAAATACCCTGGGAATCAAAAACAAATAATGAAGATGTTTAAAAAGTTGGGTGTGAAGGTCATTTTTCTTTATAAACATTATAAAGAAGCACTTACTATTTGGCCAAAATGGGATAAAACTGGAACATGTTGCGACAACAAAGATTATATGAAAAAGGATAGACAAAGAGAAAACAAGGAGATATGTGACAGTCTTCTGTCATGGCCTAGAAGGGTGTCTCATGAACTGGTACAACTGTTAGCGATTGCAAGATGTTGAAAATCATGATCGTTCAAGTCAGTCGGCAAGGATGATGATTACAGAACAAGCATACTTACTGTTTTTATAAGTGTATTCAGATGTATGAGACTAGTTTCAAATATTTACTTAGGTGGTTTGAGATGAGCTGTCTATTGTTGAAAGATCCTAGACACGATATTGAGCTGCAGACATTTTCACAGCCAAGCCTGATTCCCACAGAGTACGTCCTGACTGCCCAAGATAAAACCCCCTCAGATTATCCACTAAGGTAAGGTCATGTCACTGGGAAGAAGTCTGTATTAAGGTCTATAGTCATAGTCATTATTCCTCTTTGTGCTTTGTGATAAAATGGGTATCTGGTTTATCTTGCATAAAAGTACAGTTGTTCTTTCAGCAATGTGCTGTCATCAGTGAGTTATCAGTTAAGAGCTGACATCATAGAACTAAGGTGGGACATTCCCATAAGCGCTGCATCCCCGTCTTCAGTAGCGAGCTCAGGGTTCCACTTTGATTGTACCTGTAACACTATGTATGTCCATCTTACCCTCCCACGACTGTGAGCCACAACCGGCTCTAGCTGACTGGCTGTGCTGCTGAAGTCACCAGGTCAGGCTAACGATGTGTTAATGCAGCTGTTCTCAAACTGGGTGCAGTGAATGTATGCCTGGGCTGCTGGGGCAATAATCAAGAAAAATAAATGGGAAATTATTAAAGAAGGCATGTAGATACTAAAATGTTAATAATTTACGTTGTCTTCCCTCTCCACTGTTGAAAGTAGTTTATTTCTTGTTTGAGAACCACTGCGTTAACTCATTGTTAGCCCGACCCGGTGACGTCAGCAGCTTGGGCTGTCAGCTGGAGCCAGTCATGGTTGAGCCATGGCCAGATCCCATAGTCACTCTTCGCTTCAACATTCTCTTCAGATCATGATGGTCTTTGTTGTACCTCCACACTGTTTACTCACACGCAAAAGGCCCTTACAACACCTAACTAGTCATCCTTCCATTTACCAGTGGTGCATTTCCAAACACACAGGTATGCCTTGGAAAAATATCCAAAGGATTAACTACCTGGAACCTGTGAAGTGATGCTTGCCACTCTACGCGAAACATACACCTGTCTCCACCTTTTTCAGCTTGCTCTGTGAATTAGTTACAGTCACAACATGTATGTCCAGCTGGTCTCAGACTAGATGTCGTATCATATTCTAGGCTTTGTTGCATTCAGTTAGGTCCATGCACTTTTGCTATGAACCCACATGCACATCTTCTGCCACTCAACATAGAGCCATCTGTTGTCTTCATTTGAAGGGGACAGGTTTAATTCCCAGTATGCTAACTGTAGCTGTTGATTTTTGTGTTGCCTAGGGAGCCACTGTGGTGTAGCGGCTAGATACTCGCCTGCAGATCCAGAGGTCTTGGTTCAGTTCCTAATGAAGCTAAACATTTTTTTTTTCAAAAATGTTTTTGGCTTCCAGGTTGACCCGGCCTTAAATGGGTACCAGATAAAGTCCTGAAAAAGTAAAGGCAGCCGGCGTGATGTTTATCACATCACCCACTAAGTGCAGATTGGTAAATAAAATATAGGTATATTCCCCTATATATATATTCCCCATTATACCTGAAGTTGGGGAAAAGAGTCTTTACTTTTACTAATGTGTTCTTTACATCTTCCCTCTACATCTGTAAGTGCCAGTCAACACCTGCCAGTTTGTTTATGAGACTGATAAAAGCTACATGTAGACCCATAAGATACTGCCATTGGGTTGTGAAGTATTAGACCCTCACATATTTTGTGCCATGGCATACTGGATTGGCCAGTTTCCGTCCTCAGTGCCTTTATTCCAGAACAATTATAAAAATTGACTGGTACCAATATTTGATTTGGCATCAGACCGATTCGCATTTGTTTCATCAGTTGTACCGACCCTTCAGTGACTATGGCAAACTACTGAATGTAAAATTGCCTAGTGAAGTTAAAAACAGCCACACAGAAAAAAAAATGCTGAGATTGGTCCTGCATAAAACATGCAACAAACTTTAATTTTTTGACACCCATATTTATGAAAATTGATGAACATTAACCACCAGGGCAGATGAAGAAATAAAAAAAATTATGTCAGTTAAATTGCAGACAAGATGGCAGTATATTGAGCACATTTTGAGGCGAAACAGTCTCCAGATAAGCACTGAAATTAGAAACAAATGGATTTAGAATATGAGGACATCTAAGAGATAATTAAAGATACTAGATAGATACCTGTAGATACTTTACTTTGATACTTAAATTTGTGTACTAATCTCAGAGTAACACCATTGACTTTTATTGTACATTTAGGCACACTTCTTGTCTTTGATTACTTGTCTTCTCGTTAAATACTACTAACCAAAATATGTTGCATGATGCAGTATCATACGTGTTTACTGCTGAATCTTTAGAGTTCGGGATCCTTCTTTTTGTTCTTCTGTGTTCGTCCAAAGATGTAATTGCATTGTGCTGTTATACAGTATGGCTGCGATATTTGCACCTTTCGGCCAACACATTCAAATTCTGCGCGCATTTGTTGACCGGGTGAGCCTTCTAGGGTTCAGGATCCTACAAACACATATAATATGCAACTCCCTCTGTTGCCTTGGCGGTGTCTTTGGCCTAGTGTTGCGAGTCCAATTCGTAATTCCAACGTACTGTAATTGAAACCTACTGCTGGCTGCATGGATTTTCATCATGGTATGGAGCGTTGCAGGTCAACCCAGCCTAAAATGGGTACCAAGATGTTATATATCCTAGGGAAGTAAAGACGGCCGGCGTAATGCTGATCACATTACCCACCTAGCGCTGATTGGTCTGTAAAAATATGGGTTCTCTTCCCATATTCCCGATTCGCCTAAAGGTGTTAAAAGGAATCTTTACTATTTTTCTTTCTGTTGCCTCAGGTAGTGTTTTACCTTAATGCAAAATTGTAATCATTTTTTCAGTAATATCCATTTCTGGATAAGAGTCATGATTCTGCATGCTCATATAAAACATTATTTTTTCCCTGTGTGGGTTTCGAAATTGTGGGGGGAGGGGGAGGGGAGGAGTAGACTCATTGCCCTCTAACTTGCCGTAAGAGTTAGGTGTGTTTTCTTCGAAGTCGAAGTGCGTATGCCTGAAAAGCAAGGAACCAGCAGTCTGTGTAAAAATAACCCAGATCTATAAATGGACGGGCATACAAAACTCAGGTTATAGAACAAGGCTGAAGTTCAGAGGTGGATTACAGCCAGAACCTTCAGCTGTATTTTACAACCTGTAAATGTGAAAAAGAAGAAAACACATTTGTCTCTTTGCTATCTAAACAAGTTTCAGACTTATTATACTGCTTACTCATCTCTGTTGACTTATATCATGACAAAGTAAAGTAAAAGTAAAGGTCCCTTTTCCATGCCTTTAGGCATATAGGGTTAGACCTATATTTTTATAGACCAATCCGCACTTGGTGGGTGATGTGGTCAGCATCATGCCAGCCGCTTTTACTTCCCAGGAAGTACCCACTCAAGGCTGGGTCGACCTGGGAGTCTAGATCATTTTTGAAAAAAAGTCTAGCCGCCAACACCACGGCGACTCCCGCATCATTACAAAGATGAGCCACAAAGCAGCATGCAGTCAAGGAACACATGACAAGCTTCTCCACAACCACTTCTGCTTCTCCTTTTATCTCCCACTAGAGGAGCAGTTCTCAACCTGTGGGTCGTGAGCTACGAAGTTTTTACTTTGTGTGATGTTTTGACCGAACAGGCATTGTCTAATAGTTGGGGCATATTTTCTTTCAGGTGGTCAGGTTTGGCAGTGACCATTGGTGAAGTAATAGAAACTGCTCAGCCACACATCGGCCATGCTGATTGGCACATGGTCTTAACAGGCGTGTCACGCTGCCAGTCTCTCCAACTGGCACTGCAGAGTCTCGCTTACATGTACAAGCAAAAGCTGCCAACGTCCTTTATTTCTTGACTCATTCACATTTTGTTTTGAATTTTCCAGATTTTTTTTTTTTTTAAATTGGGTGCCATTGATTTAATTTTTGTTTTCAGAAATGTGCTTTCATAGAAATGTGAGTAATAAGACATGGTGATACTGCATATATTTTAATGTTTTGGTGACAAAGTTGCATTTACTTTACAATTTAAACCCCAAAGAAAAAAAAAGCTTGGAAACGTCTTCATTGCACTATTATTATGTGTGTAGTACTAAATTGTTGAACAATTGTGGCCTTGTGTTTGCAAAAGTCAGAAACCTCACCTGAGTTCTGGCTCCATTCAGATTCAAATCCACTATCTTTCGATCCACAGGCGAGCATCTGGCTGCTACACCACTGCGGCTCCAACTGTTGTGTGTTATTGTGAGCTTTAATCTAGACTTTTGGTTGGTTACATATATAAGATTTCACAAAAGAATTCCATGCTAATACAATTTGTTTAATCTCATTGAGACCACACCCACACAAAATTTGACCCTTGCCCCTAGCCTTAAATAGCTGCCAGGTAATGTCATGGGAAGTAGAGGGCCGAAGGCAAATGACTTTTTCCATGCCTTGATGATATGGTGCTAGTCTCATATTTGTACAGAACAGTTGCACTTTATGTGTGATGTGGTCAGTACAGTGCTGATAACCTTTACCTGCCTAAACATTTCCTGATATCCATTTGAGAATGATTTTATATATACATATATATATACACACACACATATATATATCCTTATATAAAATATATATGTATATATATATATCCTTATATAAATATTATATGTATAAATATATATATCCTTATATAAAATATATATGTATATATATGTATATATATATATATACATATATATATATATATATAGTATATATATATATATATATATATATATATATATATATATATATATTTTATGCTTTATTAAAATATATGTATAATATATATATCCTTATATAAAATATATATGTATATATATATATCTTATATAAAATATATATGTATATATATATATATTTTATTATATAAAATATATATGTATTTTTATATATCCTTATATAAAATATATATGTATATGTATATATATATATCCTTATATTAAATATATATGTATATATAAATATCCTTATATAAAATATATATGTATATATAAATATCCTTATATAAAATATATATGTATATATATATATCCTTATATAAAAAATATATGTATATATAAATATCCTTATATAAAATATATATGTATAAATGTATCAGCAGACATCAAAAGAGACAATCCCACCAACCCATACAGTTGCAAAAAAGAAATGGATGTCAACCGAAATTCTGCAGTTGATGGATGAAAGAAGGAAGAAAAAGAATGATAAAGAAGAATACTCTAGAATACAAAAAGAAATAGTGAACAAATGTAAAGTGGCTAAAGAAGCCTGGCTGAATCAAATGTGTACAGAGATTGGGGAAAATCACGGGAAAGACTCACATTCCATGTACCAACAGATAAATATGTTAACAGGAAAGATGACAGTAACAGCACTGGATGTTTGAAATCAAAGGATGGTGACTTATTAATGGGACATAGTAATATAATTAACAGATGGACAGAGTATATAGGGGAATTGTATGATGATAATAGACCCAGATGTAGAACTGCAGACCAACAATGTCCACCAATAATGACTGCAGAAGTTGAGGATGCAATACATCATATGAAGAAAGGAAAAGCACCCGGGCCAGACAAACATCTCACTGGAAGAAATCGAAGCACTGGGAAATTTGGAATTGAAATAATAACTAAACTTTTAAATGATATTTATAACAGTGGGTATATTCCAAATGACCTTTTAAAATCCATATTTATAGCTCTGCCGAAGAAACCAGGCACTTTAAAATGTGAAGACCATCGCACAATAAGTCTTATGAGTCACCATGACTAAGATTTTACTGAGAATAATTATGAGAAGAATAAGAAACAAAATTAAACCAGAAATCAGCGATGAACAATGTGGATTTGTAGAAGGAAAAGGTACAAACAATGCCATATACATCCTAAGGACATTGTCAGAAAGAGCTATAGAAGTAAAGACTGATTTGTACTTATGCTTCCTAGATTATACAAAAGCATTTGACTGTGTGAAGCATGAAGAAGTAATCAAACTGTTAGAAAAATTAAACATTGATGGGAAAGATCTAAGAATAATAAAGAATATGTATTGGCAGCGAACAGCAGCTATAAGATTTAACAACTGTTTAGGTACATTTCAAAGCATAAAGAGGGGCGTACGACAAGGATGTGTACTTTCACCTGATTTGTTTTCAATATACAGTGAAAATATTATGAAATCTTTAATTGATATGCCCGGAATCGTGGTTTGGTGGGGCACAATATAAACAATTTACGTTATGCTGATGAACAGTCTTGATAGCAACAAGTCAGAAAGAATTACAGGAAATGATAGACATTGTGGTGTTAGAAAGTGGAAGAATGGGCCTCAGTTTGAATAATGGGAAGACAGAAGTAATGGTGGTATCAAAGAAACAAATTATTCCTAAATGTGTAATAAAAGTCAATGGTGTTATTTTAAGACAAGTACAGCAATTTAAGTATCTGGACACATGGATAACATCAGATGGAAGATGCATAACTGAAATAAGAAACAGAATTGGACAGGCAAAAACTGCATTTTATAAAATGAAAAACATCTTGTGCAATATATCGTTGTCATTGAGAGTTAGAAAAGAGATTCTTGCTTGCTACATACATCCAGTTTTAACATATGGATGTGAATCCTGGACAATCGGTAGGCAGGCCAAACAATTTTTGGAGGCCTCAGAGATGTGGTTTTACAGAAGAATGCTTAGAATACCTTGGACAGCCAAAAAGAGCAACCAAGAGGTTTTAATAGAGGCGGGAGCCCGAAGACAACTTATCACTGACATCAGAAGGAGACAGTCATCATTTTTCGGCCATGTTATGAGAAGAGGAAAAATAGAACATGTTGTGACCACTGGAAAGATCTGTGGAAGGAGGGATAGAGGAAGACAACGAGAGAAGATGCTTGACAGTCTTGCTGCATGGCATGGATGTGTGTCAGCACACGAACTGATACATGCTGCAGGAGATCGCGGATTGTGGAGAGGCATGATCGCCCACGCCAGTCGGCAGGGCACCTGATGATGATGATGATGATGTTAAATGTATATATATATATATATATATATATATATATATATATAAAATTACCCAAGGACCTAATTGTTGGAAAATTGGGATTGCTATGGACCAGAGGTCCCCAGCATAGAAAGATCATTAATACAAAATAAATGGCAATGATCCATGGGCCCCTTGTTAAGCCTCTGAGGGCCAGTTTTGACCCACATGCCACTTGTGGAATAACCCCACTCTAAGGTCAACTCTGCAGCCCGTGTCAGTTGTTTCACCAAACACAATTTTTTACATGACAGGGAATTAAATATATGACCAACAGCTTGCCTTTAAATATGGAGACATGATTATATTAGTTTAAATTTTTTTTCATGAAAATATGAGAAATTTTTCATATATTTATGCGTTCACACGTAACAGGGCATTTGACACACTGTTGTGGTTTTATATCTTACTGGGTGTGATATCTGCGCCTTTCAGCCTAACACAACCGATTTCTGAAATCTTACTTGTTTAAGGGCGGTGGGTTTGTCTCCCCCCATTTCCCAGAATTGGACTTCAAAACCCACATGGAGGTCAACATTTATTAATATAGCTCTCTGTTTATGCAGAGGTAGTTGCCATGGTGTAGCGGCTAGAAGCTCACGTTTGAGTGTTCATAAAGCAATGGCAAACTTATAGTCATCATGTGGCAGGTCTTTTACAGAACGTTGCTCTCATCCCACTGAGCCTGCAATGTGGTCTGTTTCAGCACTGCCCAGTTTGTGCATGTTCCTAGCCATGAGGTCTTCCACATCTTGTGCCCATGTTTTTGCAGGTCAGCCCCTGCCTCTCTTGCCCCAGTACCATGTCCTCTGCTACAGTTTTTTCCAAATCCCTTTATCACTTGATATGGCTAAAATATTTCAGTTTCTGAGACAGGATGTTTTTTATTAGCCTATCTTCCTTGATGTTCAGATCTTTTAGGATGTCAGTTTTTCTTTTCTTCTTGATCCATGGTATTGTGAGAATCTTTCTATAGCATTTCAGTTAAAACGCCCTATTTTCTTGCTAAATGATTGCGAGATAGTCCACAACTCACTTGCATATTTTGCTATAGAAAAGGTGCATGCTTTTATAATTTTGGCTTCAATTTCCTTGCTGGTGCTTAGCAATGGACTATTAATGTTTAATCTTTGCATTGTTGTGACCATCCTATATTTAACTTCTGTTAAACAGTTTCCACTATTATTATGGAGCCTAGATATTCATTCATTCAGTGATGCCTGTACAAACTTTGGGCTCACCATCAACAAAGATAAAACTGTAGCCATGCACCAGCCAGCCCTAGGGCAAAGATACATCGAGCCCAATATCACAGTGAATGGCTACAGATTAAACGTTGTCAGTAAATTTACTTATCTAGACAGCACCCTTTTACAGAGTGCCACAACTTATGACGAAGTAAATGCAAGGATCTCTAGGGCTAGCGTTACCTTTGGCAGATTGTACAAAAATGTTTGGAACAGAAGTGGCATAACCTGCAGTCAAAGCTTAAAGTATACAAAGCATGTGTATTAACTACACTGCTGTACGCATGCGAAACATGGACTGGATACCAGCGCCAGGCTAGAAAGTTAAACCACTTTCACACTTTCACACAATGTGCCTTAGAAAACTAATGCATATCAGATGGCAAGACAAAGTACCAGATACCGTAGTCCTGGAGAAAGCAGCCATGCCCAGCATCCACTCTCTACTGATGCAGTATCAAATTCATTGGTCTGGTCATGTGGAACACATGCCAGATCACAGGCTCCCAAAAAAGCTCTTCTGTGGTGAGCTGC